GAGTCGTGACTGTCACGTTAGCCTGATGGGACCAAACTCTTTGTGATTTTAAAACGTAAGACAGTACCCAGATTTGAAGACTACAGTAAGATTGAACTTCTACTGTTAATACGATTTTGGTAGGCTACTATTAGATGGATAGCCTAAATGTCCTAATTCATGTTTTTTTTTTTGTAATGGTATATCAAAAAGTGTATATTTTTAAAATGTGATTGTTGGTACATGTTACCAGTTTTTACCATAATTTCAAAACAAAAATTAAACTAGGAAAAATATGCAATATGAAAATAATTGAAGACAAAATGTGTTTTACTGAGAAAAAACAAGATTTGTTTTTTAAAAAGCCTTTTTCCAAAAGGTACATCTGGAAAAAGGGGGGTCGTCTTATAATCAGGGTCGTCTTATATTCGGGCCAATACGGTATATGACATGGCGATTCATGTATTCATATATTGGTGAGAACACGTTAGCGTCACACACACTTCAGTATGTGTGTAGTAAACAGTCTTGCCAACTTAGCGACTTTGTCGCTAGATTTAGTGACTTTTCAGACCCCTTTAGTGATTTTTTCCCAAAAAAGCACCTAGCGACAAATCTAGCGACTTCTTGGACAAAAACTTGTCGGTACAAGTGCGAGGTCTTTCTTCCCCAGCGTGCACACACTTCAATCGGCGCCTGCTCTGTTCATTTGGTTAAAATAGATATTCTGTTACGTCTCTAATTTTACATGCAAATATAGCTGAAATCACAGCACAGGAATTGTCTTTATGTTATGTGTATTGGATTTCATCAGATGACGGCTCAATTATAAATCAGGATTTTTGTGCAAATTAACATCTTGGAAAGGGAGAGCTGGTTATGTAGTCTTAATGGGCCATGTTTCAGTCACTATTTTATATTCTTTCCATTGTCTGACAACAGAAACAGTAAAATATATAAATGAAAACAGTTTTATTGAGAATTTGGCTGCATTAAAATACAGTATGTGAGCACAGAGAGGCAAGCAAATGTAAAAGGCAATACAACGCAATGATGTGGTGCATATGCTAATTAGCGTATGACGTCATCTAGCAACATTTAGCGACTTTTCAAGCTGGCTTTAGCTACTTTCCATTGAAAGAAGTTGGCAACACTGGTATTAAACAGAACCGCGCATCTTCATATTTTTCGTATAACGATTCATATTTAAATGGTATTTTTGCAGCTTAATATTCACAGACACTAGTCCATACGGCGTTTTGATTTACGTGTTCTGACCTACTTTTGATGTATCCATTCAAAATTTGGCAAATTCCATGACATTCCGCGTTATGCAGTAAATTCCATTTTTATGACTGGATTCCGCGATTCTGTCTGCGTTTTCCGGATTGCAGAAATCATATGGCCTTGTTATGTTATTTTCTCGTTTATTACTATGAAGCTGCTTTGAAACAATCTTTATTGTTTAAAGCACTATATAAATAAATGTAACTTGATTTGACTAGAACATAGTAAAAACATTTACTAAACATTCAGTGAGTTTGTGTGTACCTCCAACGTGTTGGAGCTGTCTGAGGAGTGTGATGTGTTATTGCTTGAGTGTGTGGACGTCTCGCTCTTGCCCTCCCCGTCCGACTTCTCATCTGCACTCATGGAGTCCAGGTCTGTGTCGAAGCCTGTGGGGTAACCCATCGCCTGTAGCACCTACACCACAAAAACAGCATTACAACTAACCCAGCATGAACATCACACAGAACGTGACAGAGAATTACAATTTAATAAGCGAGCAGTGGCTTCAGATGACTACAAATGCAAGACTGTCTTTTAAGTAAAAACATTGTGGAAACTCCAAAAGTTGACTATGACTATGAATAAATGGTGAAATATTGTAACTTTCCCTATTTAAAACTACGCCACATCAGCCCTCATTTTAATGAGGACTTTACTTTTGTATGGAAAATGACACCATGAGTAGAAAAATAAAGTAAAAGTATCTTTAAACAAGAGACTTCAAAGTTTTGGCATGGAAGATTCACAAAATGATGAAACATGCTGGGAAAGTTCAGTTCATCTTTGTGGCCGTCAGTGAGCAGAAGTGGACAGTTCCTTGGATACAGAGGTCATTATTGAGAGTGAAATCATCACTTTGAAAAGACTCGCTTATATAAAAGTTCACCGAAATATGCCCACACCACAGATGCAAAGCGGAGCTGCAGATCTCTGTAAATCAAGTTAGCTGTTTACCAAAAAAAACCCTGAATAGATAAAGAACTAGACACAAAATATATTACACATATACTGTATTTTGGGGTGTACAATTTATTATTAAATACTGTATCAGTTATCAGGCGATGGACATTTTTTTATTTATCAGTATTGATATATGTTATCTCAGATACAGAGTGAATGCATGCTTTAAGTGTGAGTTTACACAGGGGTAAAGGATATCATAAGAGCACCAGTGTTCATTTGTCAGTCTGACCCAAATTGGGGCTGTCGTTGCCGTTAATGGCTGCGCTCTCACAGAAAGAGGATTAGTGCGGTCCTATGCTCCAGAGCCTTTGTTCACCAGCACTCTGGGATTACAAAGATTTGAGTTCTTTTTGCATTCTGGGAATCACTGGTGTGTGTATGTGGGAACAAGCTTAACCGGTCTTCCTGAACGACACATTGCTTTACTGTCCTGCTACAGTGACAATAGGGTTGAATCTACAAATCTGGTTCAAGAAGTCATCTATAACACTAAGAGACTGATTTAACCAGGGTCGTGGGATCAAGGATACAGCTAACAAGAGCTTAACACCAGCACACCAACTAGGTTTGCATATGTTAGAGACCTGATCACACTGGAAAATGTCTAGTAGTGACAACTGGAGCGTTTATATATTGTAAATTCAGCATGAAATCAAAATGGACCATTTTTACTTTATTTTAATACATATTCATGGTGTAAATGTGCACAGTTTGTCAAAAAAGTTGGCTTTGTAATTTGTCATTTCGCTTAATTGAAATAAAACCAAAATCGTGATATGGCTTAGTATGATTAATAATAATATTACTATTGTAATATTGCACTGTAAATTAAAAATAGTATTTAAGTATATAATAATATACTATTTTGTAATGATGCCCAAAATAAAAGTTTTTGTTTACATAATACATGTGTGTACTGTGTATAGTTATTATGTATATATAAATACACACACATGCATGTATATATTTAAGAAAAATATGCTGTTTATACATTTTAAATATTTATATACAATATCAATTATATTAATATAAATATATACGTGGAAATATTTTCAAAATATATACTGTATGTGTGTGTATTTATATATGTATTTATTTATACATAATAAATATACACAGTATACACATATATTATGTAAACAAAAACTTTTATTTTGGATGCGATTAATTGCGATTAATTGTTTGACAACACTACTATTTTTACATCACAGTGCAATTCTGACCCAAATTGGGGCTGTCGTTGCCATTAATGGCTGCGCTCTCACAGAAAGAGGATTAGTGCGGTCCTATGCTCCAGAGCCTTTGTTCACCAGCACTCTGGGATTACAAAGATTTGAGTTCTTTTTGCATTCTGGGAATCACTGGTGTGTGTATGTGGGAACAAGCTTAACCGGTCTTCCTGAACGACACATTGCTTTACTGTCCTGCTACAGTGACAATAGGGTTGAATCTACAAATCTGGTTCAAGAAGTCATCTATAACACTAAGAGACTGATTTAACCAGGGTCGTGGGATCAAGGATACAGCTAACAAGAGCTTAACACCAGCACACCAACTAGGTTTGCATATGTTAGAGACCTGATCACACTGGAAAATGTCTAGTAGTGACAACTGGAGCGTTTATATATTGTAAATTCAGCATGAAATCAAAATGGACCATTTTTACTTTATTTTAATACATATTCATGGTGTAAATGTGCACAGTTTGTCAAAAAAGTTGGCTTTGTAATTTGTCATTTCGCTTAATTGAAATAAAACCAAAATCGTGATATGGCTTAGTATGATTAATAATAATATTACTATTGTAATATTGCACTGTAAATTAAAAATAGTATTTAAGTATATAATAATATACTATTTTGTAATGATGCCCAAAATAAAAGTTTTTGTTTACATAATACATGTGTGTACTGTGTATAGTTATTATGTATATATAAATACACACACATGCATGTATATATTTAAGAAAAATATGCTGTTTATACATTTTAAATATTTATATACAATATCAATTATATTAATATAAATATATACGTGGAAATATTTTCAAAATATATACTGTATGTGTGTGTATTTATATATGTATTTATTTATACATAATAAATATACACAGTATACACATATATTATGTAAACAAAAACTTTTATTTTGGATGCGATTAATTGCGATTAATTGTTTGACAACACTACTATTTTTACATTACAGTGCAATATTACAATAGTTATATTTATATTTTAATATTTTTATTTAGTAATAATAATTATAATAATAACAATTATTTGTAATAATCAATAACAAAAATGTTAGCTTTTTTATTTAGGATTAATCAATTTAACTGAAATCAAAATCACGACCAATGAAAACAGTTGTTAGCTAATCTAAATGAAAATTAATTTTCATATTCGATTACATAGAAAATGAAGGAGAAAAAAAGGGGGGTCAAGAGGATCTGGAAATGATGCAAGCCAGGCTTGAACTCGGGTCACCCGCATCAACACTGTGGTTATTGTTAAAGGAATAGTTCATCCCAACATAAAAGCGCTGTCATTATTTACTCACCCTCACCCAGTTTTTTGAAACTCGTATGACTTTTTGTTCCGTAGAACACAAAAGAAGTAATTAGGCAGAATGTTCAAGCTGCTCTTTTCCATACAAGTGTGTAAAGTTCCAGTATCAGAAGGCTTCAAAACACGTAAAATACACCACACGGGTCATATTGACTACTTTTAGGTGCTTTTTTATGCATGACAGCCCCTAATCAACAATAACTTTCAATGCATGGAAACGAGCAGCTCAGACATTTTGTCTGATTTCTCCTTATACGGGTTTCAAAAGGCATAAGCATGAGTGAATGATGACAAAATACACATTTGTGGGTGAATTAATCCTTTAACACCTTATATAATGGTCACCCCTCCAATCACATGATGCAAAGACAACTGACGTCCAGGTGTACCTTTACAGCCACGTGCAGCTTGGCGGTCTTCTTAGAGGAGCCAGAGGCTTCGTAAACAGTGCCGTCGACGTCTACAGACATGGTGAAGACGGGGGCGTGAACCGGACCTGACTGAGACAGCAGTTTATACTGCAGCCCCGGCCGGATCTGGTTCAAGCGCATCAGAGCATTCATGGGTTGATTTGAGTCTATTGCTTTACTGTCAAGAACTGCTGGAAGGGAAAGAGAACAGAAATCAACGTTAGCAAAGTAAGCGCTCCGTAAACACACAGCTCATCTTTTAACTTTCTACGATCCCTTCGTTCCATCAGCTTGCTAATTGTGAAATTCTGCTGCTTTGAAAGCGATTTATTTGAGGCCGGCGAGGAGCGCAGGCTGGGGACAGCAGCGCGGCTCCAAGAGAAATTAAGAATCAATGGCATTGATTTCCCAACGGTTGTCTGCTTCCTGTACGAGAGAGCAAGAGATGGAAGTGCAGCAGGATGAGGAGCGAGAGAGAAGAGACGGCAACAAAGAGAAGAGCAGAGAGAAAACCGGACAGCTTACCGAAGAGAAAGAAGGTGAGAGATTAGCAGAAAAAATACATTAAAAAAGAGATGTGTTGTTCTTTAATCATTCTAGAAAGAGGACAATCACTTTTTAAGGCCAAACATGGTCATAATGAAGAAGGAACGACTGAAGAAGGAAGGTTACTGTATCAGCGTTTCCTGGCTAGTTTAAAACAGGAGAGGATATTACAGGCATTAATATTACAGATTTGTCATGAAGCACTGAGAAAGCTTTGGTTTGCTGAGGCACATTACTCGTAGAACTTATTATTCTAAGTTATAATTAAGCTAATTTTTCAATGCCCAAGGCTGATACTATCATCTACAGTTATCAGTATTGGCTGATCAACAATATACTGAAATACATAATGCAATTTAAAGGGATAGTTCACCCAAAAATTAATGCGCCATGGTACTCTCATGAACGTGCGTCGAAGACTGACACGGAGGAGAAGAACTTGTTGAATAAAGTCCTTAGTTTTGTTTTCTTTGCGCACAAAAAGTATTCTTGTAGCTTCATAAAATTACCGTTGATCCACTGATGCCACATGGACTATTTTAACAATGTCCTTACTACTTTTCTGGGCCTTGAACGTGTCAGTTGCGTTGCTGTCTATGCAGGCTCAGAAAGCTCTCGGATTTGATCAAAAGTATCTACGTTTGTCTTGCGAAGATGAACGGAGGTCTTACAGGTTTGGAACGACACGAGGGTGAGTAATTAATGACAATTTTCGTTTTTGGGTGAACTATCCCTTTAATGATAACAAATGAGAATTCTTTTTCACAATATTTAATAAAAACGTATTTAATCAAAAAGGAAATTACCATTAACCAACTACCCGAACACTGCTATTGACAGACGCACACGATATATGTAATTAAAAATGAACTGGTTTAACCAATATCTCTGTCTATCGTTGCTCAGACTGACCTTTTCTCAGGTTGCGTTTCATCTTCTTGATGAGGTCTTTGTCGTCCAGCAGACCATCTTCATAAGGTCTCTTCAGCCCTAGACCTGATACAAAAGAGCAGAGTTAACGTGCTGATGAATCACACCTACAATGAATTACTAAAACACATCAAAAACAGACTCACAGAGCTGTATGTCAGTGTGTACAATTTCAGAATTATTTTACTTTCATGTCATTCAGCAGCACTAAATGGATTTGCAAAAATAATGAGACAACATACTTCTATCTTATTTTGATTGGACAATCAGTTAGCCCCACCCCCAAACTCACACCAATGACTGAGTCTGAGTTGCTGTTGTCGGGCAGATTAGGATGTTCAGACAAACAATGTTAAAACTAATGTTTGAAGAGTGTTTCACACTTTTCAGAGAAATCAACCTATGAACAACTTATAGGTGTATCTACATATCAAACAAGACCTTGAGTATTTAAATATCAAAAAATTACACAGCCTTGAGCAAGTAATTAATTGTGCGTGCTCACCTTCTTTATCTGACCAGGGGAATTTCTGTGAAGGTTTACTTGAGGGGAGAGGGTCCATTTCTAAGACCTTATAGATCTGCCCAAAGGCCATGAGCCGCAGAGCATGCTGGAACACACATTAAAAAGTATCAAAGTTATCACAGAGCACACCAAAATGATCTGCTCCTGAAAGAAAAAAAAGTCTCAAAACGTACCCTGAAGAAACACCCACACACTTATTTTTTAATAATAAAGCAATAATTCTCCGCTTGAGCCCAGAGACTGCCTGTAGATGTGGAACATCTGCACTGAATCACCACGTTCAGAGGAATTATGGGGGACAGACTGCCTCACAAATAATTCATGCTACAACTGACTCACATTAACTCATCTTATCAGATATTGACAAAGCTGTTTACTTTAGTTATAGCCCATTACGAGACCACATAAGGTTCGATTTCAATAGTATACCTAGAAAAGATCTGTGAGCCCATTATGGGAAACACCTTTAATTACAGTAATCAGACCATCAGTGTGAATATCACCACAGTGCACTGTTTTAATACGGTCCCATACACAAACTTTGACTCTAGATGAACGAATGGAATTGTTACATGATGTTTATTTGGGTGGTTCATCATGCAATAAAACTAGACTGCTTACATTATAATCAACAAAGCTGTTATCACTGGAGGTGCCTGATGTTCCTTCAATTCATTTTTGATGTTTGTAAAGGTTCATGCTTAAACTATTCAAAAGTTTAAAAAAATTTTCCCCCTTGAATTTATTATAAAATATTTAATAATAATTATTATTATCGTTTTATATGCTGCCGTTCAAAAGTTTGGGGGTTGGTAAGATTCTGTAATGTTCTCTAAATAAGTCTCTTCTGCTCACCAAGGCTGCATTTTTTAAAATATAAAATACAGTAAAAACCGTAATATTGTGAAATATTATTGCAATTTCAAATAACTGTTTTCTATTTGAATATATCTAACAGGGAGGTTTTTTGCCCAGAACAGAACCATACCGCCAAACCAAACTTTATGCTAAGTATCTATCATTCTGACGATAGTGGTCCTGACAGAAATGTTATTTATTTCTGTGAAGCAAAGCTGAATTTTCAGCATCATTACTCCAGTCTTCAGTGAATGAATAGAAAGTTCATGTAACAGATGAAAACTCTTTTGTAACAATACAAAAATGACTGATCAATTCAAAGCATCCTTGCTCAATTTCTTTCAAAAAAACAATCTTACTAACCCCAAACATCTTACAACAAAGTTGAACGCATAATTATTCACCCACTTTCTCTCTGTTTCCCAAGTTTAGGGTTAATAATATTGTTCCAAAACTAAAGTTTGAAGTGATATTTTAGATTAATAAACATTAAGAATAACAATTTAATAAGCTAAAATTGCATTTCAATAAAGTTAGATTTACATTTTCCTTCCATCAAATTCAGTGATTACACTCGAAGCTCATTTTGAACTCATGACTCTTCATCATTGAGTAAATTGCATCGATAAGCACCATCTTTCAGCCTCATGTGTGACGACAGAAACTCTCTCTTGAATGCAGTATTTCTGCAGGTAGGCATTACTATACGGCATATCACCGCAATACATCTCATTTATGACTACGGCAAACTGCAGTAAAAACAAATGCTCATTTATAACCGCATTATCTCCAAAAAACCTAACTCATCACATTCACTAAAGTAGAAGATGAATAAAACAAATATATATAATGAATGATTATTTTCCCCAAAACTTCATATACTGCGGTTTAGTTTTTTTCTTCAAGGAAATTATACAATTTGATAAATATGTTAAGCAATCAAACATATTCTTAGCTTCAGTGGTGTGTGTAGAGTCAGGAAGGGTGTGTGTGTGTGTTTGTACTGAACCTCTTCGATCTGCTGCAAAACAGTTAGGCACATTGTGATTCTGCTCTTGACTGCACAAGTGTTCAAAGGAAAAGCGCTACAGAGATCTACTCAGAGATGCAGCACACACACACACACACACACACACACACACACAGTCCTCGGGGCAGGGAGGAAGATTCACTGGCCAGCGCCATATAATTTTTCCACACTCATTAAAGAGCCAATCATCAAGGTGCTCTATCAGGATGAGTGTGTGTGTGTTTAGTCTGGATGATACATGGAACATTCACAATATATTTAATACGATTTTACTGGTGATGTAAAATTATATCATTTTAATGTGCTGTTTTTTTTTTTTTTTACGTCTTTTAGTTTTTTGCATTGCGTTAACACCATCTCTGATTTACTTTTACTCTGTGCTTTCCCAGAAGACAAAATTATTCAAATTTTTGTTCAGGACAAACAAAGGACTCAAGAACAACAATAAATTATTTTACCAAAATAAGAGTAATCATACAAAATGCATGTTGTTTTTTATTTAGTACTGTCCTTACTAAGATATTTTACATTTAAGATGGTTATATATAATCCACAAGATAATATAATAGCTGAATTTATAAAAACGACCATGTTCAAAAGTTTGCAAACACTTGTGTTTGCAAACTTTTGAACATGGTCGTTTTTATAAATTCAGCTATTATATTATCTTGTGGATTATATATAACCATCTTAAATGTAAAATATCTTAGTAAGGACAGTACTAAATAAAAAACAACATGCATTTTGTATGATTACTCTTATTTTGGTAAAATAATTAACATTTTGACCATATTTGTTTATACACGGCCATTGATACATAACATTAAAAATTAATATTCAATCAATTTGAACCTACTTGTCAACAATGGCTGTTTGGTCAAAATGATGCCTCAGGAATATTGTATCCATATGTGACCCTGGATCATAAAACCAGTCATAAGAGTCAACTTTTTGAGATTGAGATTTATATGTCACCTGAATAAATAAGCTTTCCATTGATGTAATGTTTGTTAGGACAATAGATATTGATAGGACAATATTTGGCCGAGATGCAACTATTTGAAAATCTGGAATCTGAGGGTGAAAAAAAAAAAAAATCTAAACATTGAGAAAATCGCCTTTTATCAGTGATTCTAGCCTATATGAGACCCTGGAGCACAAAACCAGTTATAAGTAGCACAGGTATATTTGAAGCAATAGCCAACAATACATTGTATAGGACAAAATTATAGATTTTTCTTTTATGCCAAGAATCATTAGGATATTAAGGAAAAGTCATGTTCCATGAAGATATTTTGTAAATTTCCTACTGTAAATATATCAAAACTTAATTTTTGATTAGTTACATGCATTGCTAAGAACTTAATTTGGACAACTTTAAAGGCGATTTTCTCAATGTTTAGATTTTTTTTTTTTTGCACCCTCAGATTCCAGATTTTCAAATAGTTGCATCTCGGCCAAATATTGTCCTATCAATATCTATTGTCCTAACAAACATTACATCAATGGAAAGCTTATTTATTCAGGTGACATATAAATCTCAATCTCAAAAAGTTGACTCTTATGACTGGTTTTATGATCCAGGGTCACATATGGATACAATATTCCTGAGGCATCATTTTGACCAAACAGCCATTGTTGACAAGTAGGTTCAAATTGATTGAATATTAATTTTTAATGTTATGTATCAATGGCCGTGTATAAACAAATATGGTCAAAATGTTAATTATTTTACCAAAATAAGAGTAATCATACAAAATGCATGTTGTTTTTTATTTAGTACTGTCCTTACTAAGATATTTTACATTTAAGATGGTTATATATAATCCACAAGATAATATAATAGCTGAATTTATAAAAACGACCATGTTCAAAAGTTTGCAAACACAAGTGTTTGCAAACTTTTGAACATGGTCGTTTTTATAAATTCAGCTATTATATTATCTTGTGGATTATATATAACCATCTTAAATGTAAAATATCTTAGTAAGGACAGTACTAAATAAAAAACAACATGCATTTTGTATGATTACTCTTATTTTGGTAAAATAATTAACATTTTGACCATATTTGTTTATACACGGCCATTGATACATAACATTAAAAATTAATATTCAATCAATTTGAACCTACTTGTCAACAATGGCTGTTTGGTCAAAATGATGCCTCAGGAATATTGTATCCATATGTGACCCTGGATCATAAAACCAGTCATAAGAGTCAACTTTTTGAGATTGAGATTTATATGTCACCTGAATAAATAAGCTTTCCATTGATGTAATGTTTGTTAGGACAATAGATATTGATAGGACAATATTTGGCCGAGATGCAACTATTTGAAAATCTGGAATCTGAGGGTGCAAAAAAAAAAAAATCTAAACATTGAGAAAATCGCCTTTAAAGTTGTCCAAATTAAGTTCTTAGCAATGCATGTAACTAATCAAAAATTAAGTTTTGATATATTTACAGTAGGAAATTTACAAAATATCTTCATGGAACATGACTTTTCCTTAATATCCTAATGATTCTTGGCATAAAAGAAAAATCTATAATTTTGTCCTATACAATGTATTGTTGGCTATTGCTTCAAATATACCTGTGCTACTTATAACTGGTTTTGTGCTCCAGGGTCTCATATAGGCTAGAATCACTGATAAGACCGGTGTGTGTGTGTGTGTGTGTGTGTGTGTGTGTGTGTGTGTGTGAGAGAGACATGGCAGTAATCTGGACAGCACAGCAGCACCGCTCTCCTCATCTCACACACATCCTGACACACACTGCTTGTACCTGTGTGTTGTACGTGATGGCCTCCGCCTCCTCATCCGTCATGGCCGACAGGGTGTTCGTCAGCTCCTTCTCACAGGGATCATGCAGGCCTGGTCCACCTGGAGAGGAAACCAAAAATGATTATATTATAAACGTGAAATACATTCTACAAATTATATGACTCACACAGCTGACAAGAAGGACCCAGTCAAGAGTTGAGGAAACTACTCTAGTGTTTCATTATTTAGTGAGTTACTCCCTATCACCGCAGGTGAGCAATTCATTAATCTCTAAAATCAACCTTTATCGTTTAACTTATGCCCTGAAGGTACAATACAAATATATATTTTTATGTTCACATAAGTATATAACATTTTGGCTTATTTCCCATGCGAGCCAATCAAATACGCCTGCATCTCATTATTAATGAATAAGTGAGAAAAGAGTATAAGAGTAGCGAGGGATGGACAAGTCATGTCAAGAGCAGATAAATGAGGCTACATTATTCCTAGAGCTCTGCGAATGAAAGCCAGATCTGATAATGACACCGCTGCTGTCATCACACCGCACAGGACTTATTCACATTTATCTTGCATATGCAGATATTTTGGAGGCTTATTTCAAGTCAATTAAGATTAGGGATCTATTAATATACAATGGATAATTTTCTCTGTTTCACTTTTTCTTTTTATTAAAAACAAGCATTCATAATCAAATCAGGTAGAAATCGGATACCAGCATAGATTTTTTTAACAATTATTTAAAAACAATAAATATAAATTACCCACAACACTAAACTACTTGCAACACTATTTTTGTTTCTCAGCAAGGATGCTATAAATTCGAGCAATTGAGCATCCTGCTCCTGAAAAATGTATAACGGTTTTCTCAAAAATATGAAGCAGCAGCACAACTGTTTTCAACATGGATAATAATCAGAAAAGTTTCTTGAGCAGCAAATCAGCATATTAGAATTAGAACCGGAATAAATTACATTTTAAAACATATAAAATTGTAATATTTCAGAATATTACTGTTTTTACTGTATTTTTATCAAATAAATGCAGCCTTGAGCATGACATTTCTTTTAAAGACATTTTAAAAAATCTTACTGACCCCAAACTTTTAAACAGTAGTGTAGATATTGAAATTTCATTAACCATAAAAGACAACATGTTTCATACATAGATATAGCTACTGTATATGTCAAAGAAAAAGGGTTAAGAATTACAAAACCATAACGATTAGAATTAAACTAACCCCTCTTTGTTACTCACAAAATGAAATTGTCTGAGGCATCTGGAACTATTCTCTAGAACTTCAAACTGTTTTATTGCTTCATTCTGGAAGTGTTCATACCTGGAAGCAGTATGCCGGAGGCGAGACACTCCATGACCCGGCGCAGAGCCTCTCCTGCTCCCAGAGGTCTGTTACACGTGGCGATGGCCTTCTCACATATTAACTCCAAAGGCTGAGAACAAAAGAGCAAATCGCTTTTCAGAGACTGATTTGTTACAAAAAAGCTATCAATTCATCAGAATTTTGCCTATGGGACACTTAAATGAGAGATTACTGTACATCTGTGGTTACTGTAAAACCATTCAGTTTCTTGCTTCAAACACAATATACTAATAACAGAAGAGATCCAGTCCTAGAGGCTCACTATTTCCTCAAAATTATGAAGCAGCAGCTCAACTGTTTTCAACACTGATAATAACAATAAGAGTCTCTTGAGCAGCAAATCAGCATATTAGAATGATTTCTGAAGGATCATGTGACACTGAAGACTGGAGTAATGATGCTGAAAATTCAACTTTGATCACAGGAATAAATTACATTTTACAATATATTCACATAGAAAACAGTTCTTTTGAATTGTAAAAATATTTATTTTTTTACTGTATAATGTATAACTGTATATATGACCATTTAGCCACTATATATATATATGCAGAAAAGACACTTCAGCTCAATTCATGAATTATTTTCAATATGGTATATGGAACCTCTTCAGATTACATTTGTGTTTTTATCATTTTTTTTCGGGTGACAAATGAATGTTTAATTATTACAATAATACAGTAGTTTCAATCTTGATTGTCTTGATCACATTACAATTTTTCAAAGGGATAAATGGCAGCTTAAGCAAAATATTTATTGCATTTCTACACAGAACAGAAGGGTTTGGGGATTAAAAATACACTTATTCAAGAATAATTAACTACAATAAATATCAACAACTGATATGTACCTGAAGTGTATTGTCTGCATTACGCCACAGACCCCCAATTTCCAATAATTCAACGGTTCCTTAATCTATGACTGAATTCTCTAAAGTTTTACTGTAGTATTTGTAATATCAGAAGTCTGCTACTCACCCATCCTTTCAGAGGTTCCCACGCCGGGACTCTATTGCACATGTCTCTCAGTATTCGCAAGACAATCACGCACGACTTTAGCCCGTTAACTCTAGCCTGAGGAAACCAGAGGGAGTCGCCCAGTGAACGGAGAGCAACAATCAAGTCCAACCTTTAACCCCTAAATCTCTAGATCTTGACTGTGTGTGAGTGTGCAAGTGTGTTGTGCTTCGGTTCTGGCCCGTGTCGTGCGGATGATGGAGGAGGGGGCGGGGCTTATGTGGGTGGGGTGGGAGAAGGGAAGATCTAGACAAATCCTTCATGATGACAAGCAGGTTATGGACAAACAAAAACAGGCAAAAGAAAACAAAACGTGTAACAATTGCTTTTGTAGCCTTACGATACGCAAACGTTCGAGATGAGGTGTCGAGCATTTGGAGAGCTGGAGGAAATCGAGGAAAATGGCATGTAGTTTTGGGTCATAAGGCTACAATAACAATGAGAAGAAGTGAGCGCCAACCTGGAACCATTTGGCATGTCGCAGAGAGGCCAACGCCACCAGGCACCTCTGTCTATCCAACAGGTCCGCCGGCTCGCTCGACTCAACGCTCTCTATCGGTGAGAAGAACGGGACAGGAAATCAAATCACACACGCGTAGACACGCACGCTCACACACATACGTACACATGATGAGGGAGGGGACTGTTAAGGCACAGCAGGAAGGAGAAAGGAGGAAGCCAATCGGCCGAGGTGGTCCAGTGCATCCAAAAGAGATGAGAGCTCAGCACATCTCCTTGGCTGGCTGGAAACTGGAGGAAGCATTCGCAGAAGGTGTTAGCATGTGCTGAGTGTTGCGAAATGCTAAACACGGCCTACAAAACAAGGCTGAACGAAGCTGTTCAATTGGCGTTACGCACTATCCTAACCAGGCACGCTGTAATACAGCATCCTCTGTATTAATGGGAGTTTGTGTGTGAATGTTTTGGCCTGATGAGCCGCAAAAGTGACAAGCAACAATAAATTTTCCGTCACTTTGTACTAATTTTTGGTTTGATGCTGGATAGCTCCGCCCACAGCGCACTCTGATTGGTCCACAATCCCAACACACAGAGGCAGTGGTGTTAAAGTGTTGATTTTTATGAAAACTAATAGATTTTTTTTTTACTTTTTTTAATGAAAAACTTACTTCTTGTATGTATGTTGCAATAAAAAACTCTTGGAAATTCCCTTAATATTTTGTTGTGTATAATTTACAGTCAAACTGTATTATATTTATTTTTTAAACCATGCAAAAATGAAAATAAAATGCTAGCTATGAAATGAACAAGATTAAGGGGTAAAATATTTTATTTCACTTTTTTTTTTTTTTAATTAAATTAATTATTTTTCTAATTATTTATTTTGTATTTTTACTTCTCCTGTTTAAAAAATGACAATCCATCATTTGAAATCTGGTGTAAACTAAATTATTTTGGTTCAGAAAAACTTTAAAAATGAAAAATTACTTGCATGTATGTTGCAATAAACCTCTTGGAAATTCACTTAATATTTTGTGGTGTATAATTTACAGTCAAACTGTATTTTTTTTTAAACTATGCAAAAATGAAAATATTATGATGTTTAAGATTCATAAAACGCTAGCTGTGAAATGAGCAAGATTAAGGGGTATACGATTTTATTTCAAAATTGTAATTTTTTTATTTAAAATGTAAACAATTAAAAAATATATATTTCTAATTATTTATTTATTTTGTATTTTTTACTTTTCCTGTTTAAAAAAAATGACAATCCATCATTTGAAAAATGTGGTGTACATTAAATGTTTTGGTTCAGGAAAACGTAAAATAAAATAAAAATATTTAAAACAATTTTTATAAAATGTACAAATTTGGGGTCTGTAAGATTAAAAAAAAATGTATTTGAAAGAAGTCTCTTCTGCTTACCAAGGCTGAAATTATTTGATCAAAAAAATAATAAAACTGATAAAAATGTCATCAGCATCACACGAGCCTTCAGAAATCATTCTAATAAGCTGGTTTGCTGCTCATGAAACATTTCTTACTATTATCAATGTTGAAAACAGTAGTGTACACATTTTTTTTCAGGATTCTTTAATAAATAGAAAGTTCAAAAGAACAGCATTTATTTTAAACCGATATATTTTGTAACATTACAAATATCTGTCACTTTTAAACAATTTAATGCATCCTTGCTGAATAAAAGTATTAATATCTTAAAAAAAAAACACTTACAGACCCCAACACTTACTGACTCATCTCTTCACACAGCATTTCAGTAAGTACAGAGACTAATTTCCTGCGGCGTGTCTGGTTAGGCGCTAACGTCAAAAACAGCGACACGCGCTAACAGCTTCAGCGAATCAGTGCCAGTTTGTGCTTGGATTGACACTGGAATAATGAAGACATGCAGTGGGTATTGTTATAGACCAGTCACAACAAGAGAAGAGATCGCTCACACACAACACACACTCACAGTCTGAGCTCTCTCCCACCCAAACAATACATAAGGATCATTCTTGAACTTGTTCGATCATTGTTTTTCTTTCATTGTCTCAGTAGGTGAGCGTCTATGTACCAGTGAGATCATCCCACTGTTCCTCTGCAGATAAACAAACAGATAAAAGACAGAAAAGGCTGCCACAGCGTAAATCCAGGACAAGGTGTACTTTAATCATGAGGGGTTATTTAGAGATTATATGACGATAACTGCAGCATTACTCTTTCATAATTCCTCTCTGGATTTTAATCAGAGCAGCCCAGCTGAGGAGGGTTAAAGAGGAAGATCTGTCAGAGTGATAGAAAGGTTTAGCCCACCCTCTAATCAATGACACACACACACATACCGCAAAAATTAACATCAATCCATCATTTATCTCCCCACAACCTTACAAACACTCAAAATGAGACAAATGATTCAGTGCATTCGTAATCAAATCGTACAAATCTCCAGCACACAAACATGGGTGGAAAAGCATGTTTAGGTCCAAAAGTTTGAGACCGCTAGTTAACTGTATTTTTTTTTAAATATACATATTTATTTGATATTTTTATACAAGTTATATTTTAAGCGAAACAAAAAAACTGAACTGAAAAATCAATAAATGCCTGATTTGCGATATAGACATTTGGAACCCTCTGTTTTTCAAAAATAAATAAATAAATACACAAATAAATAAAATAAAAAACGTAATAAAATAAAATTTAAAAATCAATAAAATATATATTTTTTTTTAATAAAATTAAATAAAAAAAAAATCTATAAATTTAAATAAAAAAAATTAGAAATGTAATACAATAAAATAAAATAAAAATTAATAAACAATATAAATATAAATAAATAAACAAAATAAAATTAGCCTATTTTTTAGGACACTGTCACGACCTCAAGTGGGATTCTTGTTACTGTATGGCATAAATACAATGATACTTTATTTAAATCAACAAATTTAAGTTAAAGCAAAATACTGTCATGGTGCATTAATATTTTAACTTATTGCACTTTCTTTTTATTTAAAGTACATTTTTATGCATAACTGTAATAAGAACATGTGCTTAAATGTCAATAAACAATGTCACAATGTAAAATATTTATGATCCTAAAAACAAGCTTCATGTTCTTTATAAAGAACAGTTTCTTATTTCTGTCTTTTGATTTATGGAGTGAAATACAACCCAGCCATGTTCTAATATTACATTGTTATGTGTGTGTGTGTGTGTCATTTATGCACGTGTGTGTTTGTGCGCGAGCTGAGGAGTACTGCCCATTCGGGTCGGTCCTGAGATTGAGCCGTTTCTCAACGGGACAGGGCCCTTGACCTGGTCGGGAAAATACGAGGTGCTCCTTTCGTGATCTACAACCCATCGCTCCATCTCTCCCTCCCTCCTGTCATCTGTCATCCCTCACTCCAGGGGCAGTGTCCACATCTGACACATCTGCTAGATGGATGAGGTGTGTGCTGCCACAGGTATTGATTCCTCAACCCGGATACATTCTTTCATTTTCCTCTCCCCACTTCTAACAAACAGGATAGCGGGGTGAGCAAACCCATGAGAAAATGAGCGTGCTTGTGTCAGAGAGAATGAGATTAAGGCATATTGGCCTTAAAGTGCACCCAGAAAGCAAAATTCTGTCATCATTTACTCAAACTGTTGCTGGTCCCCACTGACTTTCATAGTATAAAAAAATATATATCATGGAAGTCAATGTTTGGTTTCCATATACTTCGAAATGTCTTATCAATAGAGAACATGGTGACCAACAGAATTTTGAAAATTAATAACTTTTAAATAAATAACTTTTTTTAACACAATATTGTATTTTTTTAATAATAATATGTTTTTAAAATAATCATCAATCTTAATAATGTATAACAATATTTAATATTAAAATGTATTTATTTTTTTATTCTTTTTTTAACTTAAAAATTCATTAAAATTGATCATCAATCATTAACAACGCAGATTTTTATGTTTTTCTTTCATAAGCTCAGTAGGTAAGTCAATGAATTTCAAAATGGTAAAGTGTTCAAAACAATAATTCTTTAATAATCAAATTATTCCATTTAAATTCTGCAGAAATCTGCGGTACTTTATGGAATTCCATGAAGGCCACACTAATAAGACATCTAAATCTATCGTCCTCTTTAGTATTGAGGTTTGCTACTGTGACTGTAACGGATGAGCACTCAAGCATGTTCAGCAGGGCTGCACCCCTACAATTCACTGGCAACACATTTGCATATTTTTCATAGAGCGACAGAATGTGCATGAGAGCGTGTATGTGTGTGTGTGTGAGGGAGAGAGCGAGGGAAAGAAACAGCACATTTCGCATCGCTGCAGCTCTAATTGTTATAACCTAAATGCCGTCTTCTAAAGATACAACCACTTCAGCTGTCAATACGGTCAGTCACGGGTCACGGCACCAAAAACTCCAATAACACACTTTCATCTCGACTTCACTCATGTGTTTGGAGCTCAAGTGCCTCTGCATCAGCAATAACCGACGGCAAGCTGAATCTGACATCACACTTTAATATTAATGTCAGGAATAAAAAAGAGTGACTTTAAGAAAGGATGAAAGTCTGACTTTTTCTGTGTTTAAGTGCTATAATTGGGTCCCCGGTGCTTCTACCAAACCAGAAAATGTGAAAAAGAACAACCCAGTAATTATTTTTTGGTAAGCTTTTCTCTACAAGCTTGTGAAAACCGAGCCGCTCAGATTTCGCTCCCCCTGTGAAGTAGAAGGGGATCTTATTATAATATTACTGCCCCTTAATCTGCAAGTTTACACCCACTGCAGCGTCACTGTGATTTCGCAAGCGACAACAGTGTAGCAGTTCTTCTAACGACATAGTGAAAGTTCAAGCACAGCATGCTAACTGTTCTGTCTTTGGCTGCACTGACGAACACAGAACACTGTTTAGAGTCCCAGCCTCAGAGAGGAGACGAGAGAGCGGTGGATTTATTGATTTATTTACTGTATATTACGCTACTCCCACACAGATAAACATGTGATTTATTTCCCAGCTGTTTATCTTCACAGACATAACCAACTGTTTTTGTAACTTGTGTGTTTTTAACATAAACTTGTATGTATTTGACAGTTTAAGCACAATAAGACGTGAAAGAGAAGTTTAGTTTATTACTCACATGCTGTGACAGCCGCTTTCTGTGTGTGTGCTTTCAGATGTGTGCTCTCAGAAAACCGTATATCAGAAGTTTAAACTAATATGGTTTAAAACGCATATTTTCAGCGCGATAGACATGATAATCGAAACCAAACAGATGTTTTTAGCAGAGTATCTGAGGTAGGAGCTGTAAAGGCACAGCCCTGTTCTGCAAAAGGGGACGGGGAGCAGCAGCTCATTTGTATTTAAAAAGACATGCACTAAAACAGCGTGTTTCTGCTTACACCATTTTCAAAATGATATAATAAATTATCTGTGGGGTATTTTGAGCTGAAACTTTACAGACACATTCTGGGGACACAAGAGACTTATATTACATATTGTAAAAAGGGGCATAATCGGTCCCCTTTAAAGGAATATTTCACCTCAAAATAAAAATTCTGTCATAATTTCTTCACCCTCACGTCATTCCAAACCTGTATGACTTCTGTGGACACGGAAGTAGATATTTTGGCAAATAAGTATCTTTTTGTTCATACAATGAAAGTAATTGAGGTTCAGTGTGCTTTTGGACCCCATTGACTTTCATTATATGAACTAACAAGTGCTTCTTTTGTGTTTTTAGAAGAAAGCAAGCCATACAGGTTTGAAACGACATAAGGGTGAGTAAATAAAGACAGAAGTTTAATTTATCAGTGAACTGTCCTTTTAACCGACAAATGAAAGGCATGAAAACAGCACCTTGGGACCCCTGCTAGAATATGCACTGAGCTCCTCTTACTGCCTGAAGTATGTAATATGGATGAACATCCCGCACTACATTGTTCTTGACTAAACATTTGGTTGCACTCCATAATGTCCCATTACAGAAGCAAACGGTTCTGTGTCTTTCATCTCTCTTTTGCTCCTCCCGCTCTTTTTTAGCACCTCCCGTGAGTGGTTCTGAGGGTCAAGAGTCTGACAGCATGAAGACCACTAAACCTGCTGCTGAATCAGCTGTGTGTGTGTGTTTAGACTATGAGATGGGTCCAGCGCTGTGTGCGGCCCTGAGAGAGTGTTCTGGATGCAGAGTAAGGAAGAGATGAAAGCTCTTTCTTCTAATGGACCATCACTAACACACACACAAACACATTCATCCATCCCCTCCCTTATCTGCTGTTTAGCAAATGAAAAGTAAAAAGTTGGTCACATGCAGGCACAAACCTTGCTCCTCCGTCTCGCCGTCGTCTTGCATCTGTGGGGAGGTGAGTGTCACCTTCAGCGTGAGTTTGGGGTCTGTTGTGGTGCGGACCAAGATGGCGGCATCTGGAATAGAGCTCTGTACCTCATACTTCTCCTCTGTCAACTTCTGTAAGGGTCAGAGGTCAAAGGTCAAAAACATGCAAAGATGATTCAGAATGAATTATCTTGTACTTGGCTCTATAGAAGGGTATAGTTGTGACCTATTTAACTGGATAATATCATGGAAAAATGACATTTCTAGCTGGTTTATTTGTAAATGATTTGATACACTAGACTAGGGTTTCACTATATACTGGTATTTATGATGTATTGACCATATTTAAAAAATGAAACACTGATATCATGTTAAAAAAACACATATGGAAATGTAAATTTACATTTAATCATTTAGCAGATGCTTTTATCCAAAAGAAATTACAAACAAGGGTAACAGAAGCGATCAAAACAACAAAAGAGCAACAATATATAAGTGTTGTGACAAGTTCACGTAAGGAAGAGATGAAAGCTCTTTCTTCTAATGGACCATCACTAACACACACACAAACACATTCATCCATCCCCTCCCTTATCTGCTGTTTAGCAAATGAAAAGTAAAAAGTTGGTCACATGCAGGCACAAACCTTGCTCCTCCGTCTCGCCGTCGTCTTGCATCTGTGGGGAGGTGAGTGTCACCTTCAGCGTGAGTTTGGGGTCTGTTGTGGTGCGGACCAAGATGGCGGCATCTGGAATAGAGCTCTGTACCTCATACTTCTCCTCTGTCAACTTCTGTAAGGGTCAGAGGTCAAAGGTCAAAAACATGCAAAGATGATTCAGAATGAATTATCTTGTACTTGGCTCTATAGAAGGGTATAGTTGTGACCTATTTAACTGGATAATATCATGGAAAAATGACATTTCTAGCTGGTTTATTTGTAAATTATTTGATACACTAGACTAGGGTTTCACTATATACTGGTATTTATGATGTATTGACCATATTTAAAAAATGAAACACTGATATCATGTTAAAAAACACATATGGAAATGTAAATTTACATTTAATCATTTAGCAGATGCTTTTATCCAAAAGAAATTACAAACAAGGGTAACAGAAGCGATCAAAATAACAAAAGAGCAACAATATATAAGTGTTGTGACAAGTTCACGTTAGTCTAATGCAATACACGTAGCAAGGTTTTTTTTTATTTGATGTTTTTTATAATACATAAAAAGTAGATAGAAAAGAGAAAGAATAGATAGAGCTAGTGTTAGATGGTCAAGCATGAAAATCAGTTATGGGTCAATTATGAAAATATCGTAATCCAGCACTACTAATGGTTCACTCCAACATTTTAGGTGGTGATGGTGCATCTTATTACTGGTTGACAACCGGCATAAACCTTTTTTGCAAAGCTTCTATTGATATCTTAGTAATATAATTAATGTGAAGTCTTTTGGCCATTATAATCATGTGGTGAAACTTTAAAAACATGCAGAAGTCCCACCTAGGCTGCTTATTGACACCCAGCTGCAAAAATGGTTTGTTCTGAAATTAAAATGTGAAATTAAATAGATATTATAATGAAATTACATTCCTTTAAATAGCGAAATCATCCTGCTTAATTTTAGGGGTCAGAAAGAGGAAGGAATAATCATTTAAAATTAAACTGTGGTGATTTTTGCTAGAAGAAACCTTGACATAAATAAATGAATGAATAAAAGAAAGAAAGAAAGAAAGAAAGAAAGAATTTTTTTTTTGCTGTTGAACCTTTAGACAACATATTTTAAAATCAGGCTTTTATGGCTCAGAGATCTTACAGAGATAACAGACTACTTACATTCCATTTTGTTCCAAATTAATATTAGTTTATTAAATTCCAAATTAATATTAGTTGTCACTCTACATCTCCTAATAATGTCTTAGTAAGATGATTTATAAATGCTTAGTTTTATGATTAAAGGGGTCATATGATGCGATTTCAATTTTTCCTTTCTCTTTGGAGTGTTACAAGCTCTTGGTGCATAAAGAAGATCTGTAAAGTTGCAAAGACTAAAGTCTCAAATCCAAAGAGATATTCTTTATAAAAGTTAAGAGTCAGCCACGCCTACTTAAAACGGATTGTTCTAACACGCCCCCACATATCTACGTCGCTATGTGGGAAGATTTGCATAACACCGCCCAAATGTTCACGCAAAGAAAGAAGGCGTAACTTTTATTCTCGCTGCAGTATTGTTGTTGCCGCAGCTTATAATGGGTTTTCATGTTTTTGTCTCGTTGCTCCAGCCTGACAGGGCATCATCACAATATGTTAAGGGGCGTAACATTTCCGTCACACGCTTGAGGTATTCGGCCAATCACAACACACTGGATAGCTGGCCAATCACAGCACACCTCGCTTTTCAGACCGATGAGCTTTGTAAAAATCGACGCGTTTCAGAAAGGCGGGGCATAGAGGAGAAATAATAATGTACAGTATGTGGAGAATAATGTGTTTTTTTAACCTTAAACCGCAGAAACACATTTCATTACACCAAATACACAAAATAATGTTCTTTTTAGCAGCATCATATGACCCCTTTAATGCGCTGAAGTTTCAAAATATATAATACAATGATGATAGAGAAATGAACAAATAAACGTTCATCAGAGCAGAGTTAAAAGTGCAGAACACACCTGCTTTGAATCAAACTGGACAAGAATGGAAAGGTTAAGTTTTTGGCATTCTTTGGCCACAGCTGGTCACAATACATTTACAAACCAGATTATGAGGTGGGACCTAGACAGCGCAGATGCTGGCTTTAATGTTTAATGTAATCCGGTTTGATGCGGGGGACGGCTCTGTAATCCATTCAATTAATTCCAGCCACACATTCTCAATCCGCCTGCTCTTTTCATGTAAACCAGAGATCAATTACATCTCCCACTGCAGTGACCCGTGTGTGTGTGTGCGGACGGACCGCTATACAGAGCACATTTCCTTCATGCATTCACATGCTGCTAAGACAGGAAATGTGCACATATATCACTCAATCGCTGATGTAATGGCTCTGACCAATCAGAGCAAGTAGAGAAAGGGTAAAGCAGTCGACTGCCTTTTCCATTAAGAACAAATCCATTATACGGGACTTGACCTGCTGGTAGTACAGTCTGCTTTAATGGGATTTGTGTCTGGGGTCTGTTGTGTGTGTGGGAGGCTCAGACTGGGTCACCGCTGATCACCCCGTTCCCTTGGCCTGTCCTAAGTGTCTAATTAGGGAAGCAGGTTGCTGGTTTATATTAATTACACATGATGAATATAAATAGAGCAGGTCTGTTTTGGATGTTGCAATATTTTATCTGTATAGAAATCTGCAATGTTTCATTTCCCTCAAAATATATGTGTTCATAACTATGTCAGTGTAAAATACATTCAAATATGTAGTATCAGATAAAATACATAGTCATAAAACTTTATACTTGCCGAAAAAGTGGCGAAAAGTCATAAAACTTTATACATGTTAAACTGAGACTAGCGTGATAGACCTACTGACTGACTTGTTATAATCATGTAATATCTGTAAAAAAAGATTTGTCCACATGAAAAGGGCAACTTATGTTACATAACTACTGTTTACATGGAGCAAATTCTTTTTTACAGGAATTACATTAACAAGTTTACCTGCATGGACCAGCAGAATTATTACAGCTTTATAGCTCTTTTGTTTTTAATGTCAGAATTCATAAGCGCAAAAATACACATTTCACATTTTTGCTTTTAAACCCTCAACTGTCTTGTCCCATAGAGACTTGTCCCGTTCTTGCCCCACAAACTAAATTAATTACTGAAAACTATTTTTTTTATTTGCATGACGTGATATGTGAAAATAAATCAGTGTTGTTTTATAAGTATTATATATATACTATATAATATTTTATAATATTTATTTATTATACTATTATTTTTATTATTTACATTTTTAATTTTAGTTTAGGTTTTAGTAATTTAATGTGCTTGTCATTTTTAATTTTTTGTATTTAATTGTATTTATTTTAGCTTTAGTAATCTTAGTACTTCAACAAATTTCTATAATTCATATATTTTATAAACTTTTATTTTTATTTCAGTTGGATGCAAAGACAGCATTTTAATTTTTTTAATTTTAATTTTTTCATCTAATATATAAATGTTATTTTATTTCAGCTTTATTTCAATTAACAAACATGATATTTAACAGTTTTAGTTAATGATAAAAATGTATAAAAAAGTTTTTTTTTTGGTAGTAATTTGTGTATACTGTATGTATTGCAAGTAATGGAAGTTTCAGAAGCTGTTGAGCTTATTTCAGGAAAAATTGCAACAGTATTGCAAGATTCATTTGGTAACAAATCACTTTCACAAGCATATTTTAACGAGTGCATTAACATAAAATACACTTCGCTGTTAGCAAACAACACATTAAATCCAGATAAACACTGATCAATGGCAAGCAAGCGTCTCTTGTTCTTCAGGGAAAACTAGCTGCAGTGTACCGCAGTGAGATGAAACACAAACAATAAAAAGAAAGCGTTTTTTGGGTGTATATTTTTATCCACAGCAGATCAAAACTCTTACAGGAGGTTGTGTGGTCAGTGTGTATTTTGGTAGCTGATGTGGTTTGTGTGTGTGCCGTCACCTCGATCTGCAGCGGGATGTTGTCACAGACGGTGCACAGCAGAGTCTCGGTGGGCTTCTCTCGGCACATGAGCACCAGCTCCAGATCCATGTCATCTTTAATCAGGAGGCCTTTGGCCACCAGACCGATCCTCATCACGCCACACAACACCTGTCCTTCACTGGGACTGCTACTAGAGCTGCTGTCCTCGCTGAGACAACACACAACATCAATGCGATCTGAATGAATGATGTGCAATAAGCAGATCTAATAAATCAAAAACAGCTTCTTAGCAGAAATCTGTCTATTTTCCCAGCATGCACTCACTTTGTGCTGCCTTCTGGCGATTCGTCCGCGCTGGCCTCCGTCCCCTCCTCCTGTGTGCTGGATGAATTTGGTTGATTTGATTGGCTGGCTTGAGTTTGGTCCATCCAATCAGAGACGTGTTTCAGGGCGCGCTCCACGGTGGAGACGAGGCTCTGCACCGCCTCCAAGGCCTCAGAGGAAGGGTAGATGGTGGAGTGCTTGGCCATGACGTGACGGTCATCGTTCCCGAACGACCGAATGGACCTCTGATGGAGAGAAAACACTCAATGTAGTAAGAAACAATACATAACCTTGTAGTTGTAGATGCAATAAATAGAGTATGCGCACACAACTTTGTCTCAGAGGTTCATTTTAAGAAATTAACCGACTTCTTATATGAAAGTTGCATTACAAGTTTTTTTGTAAACTTTTTACAATCATTCACTTAGCTTTGGCCTTGTCCCGAACCCAGTCTTTGAATTTTGAATTATGAAAATCCATTGAAAAAAAATTAATTAATTAATAATAATAATAATAATATATTTATTTATTTATTTATTACATGCACACACTCAAGTAAAAAAATAATTTCACTATTTATTTTGTGAATATTGTGTATTAATTTTTACACATCAAGTGGGTATCAACTTAGAACAGTCCCACAGCTGTGTTATAATTTATATCACAAAAATTACAAAATTATCTGCAAATAAATAAATAAATGATAACAGAAAGAATAAAAAATTTCAACATTTAAATTTGGGGACCATTAAATTAATCATATGTGATAGTAAAATTATAATGTTACAAAATATTTTTATTTTAATTAAATGCTGTTCTTTTGAACTTTCTGTTCATCAAATAATTCCGCAAAATTATGAAGCGGCACAATTGTTTTCAACATGGCAATAAGAAATGTTTCTTGAGCAGCAAATCAGCATATTAGAATGATTTCTGCAAGATCGTGTGACACTGAAGACTGGAGTAATGATGCTGGAAATTCAGCTTTGATCACAGGAATAAATTACATTTGAAAATATATTAAAATAGAAAAGAGTCATTCTAAATTGTAGTAATATTTCACAATTTTAAAAGTGTAAAAAGTGTGTTTTAATTGAATTTATTTCTTCACTTCCACAGGATGAAAGTGCCAGCAACGACATACCAGTAACACTGATAAAGGTGAGCTACATGCAAAAACACACACACTCTGCTGTTAACAACTTCTGAAGATCACCTTGGCCGACTTCTTCAATTGATCTCCTCAAGTAAAGTGCGCATGTGAGACAGACGTGCAAGGTTAGAGCGAAGCGTTCAGTGGCAGATTAAACTTTAATCAATCAAACTCACCTCTGCTTGCCTTGATGGCAAAACAAACGTCTAGAGAAGTAAGATCATATGCGTGTCCAAAGCCGTAAGTCACACCCGCTGTATTAACCTGTGTCTGTGAGCGTCAGCATGTTACACATCATCCTCACGGGTGGAAATCAATTTGAGCTCGGTGACAGTCACCCGACAACCTCTTCGAATCAGACATCGCTCCCGCATACCCACAATCCTTCAGTCTTTCATCAGCCACCGTCAGTCAATCTCTCATGTAACCCCCCCACTTCACGACTAGATCTAACCACCCAATCCTCTCTTCCTGCATTAGTATTCAAGGTGGCGCTTCTCAACTGGTGGGACGCGACCTAAAAATGAGTCGCAGGTCTGTACTGAAAAATAATGAAAAGAACAAAATGCAACTAACTACATAACAGTTAGTGCTGCACAATTAATCGAATTTCTAATCGCGATTACAATTACGGATGCCACAATTACGTAATCGTTCAAAGCGGCAATTAATCGTTCAAAGTCCACTTATGTTATTCTGAGTGCTTAAGATGTGTTTTTTCTTTCTACAGGTCATCTTAAGGGGGTTTTTCAATTTTAGTGTTAGTAAAATATTATAATACCATGCATATTTTTACTTTTTTATTACACATCATCCTCACGGGTGGAAATCAATTTGAGCTCGGTGACAGTCACCCGACAACCTCTTCGAATCAGACATCGCTCCCGCATACCCACAATCCTTCAGTCTTTCATCAGCCACCGTCAGTCAATCTCTCATGTAACCCCCCCACTTCACGACTAGATCTAACCACCCAATCCTCTCTTCCTGCATTAGTATTCAAGGTGGCGCTTCTCAACTGGTGGGACGCGACCTAAAAATGAGTCGCAGGTCTGTACTGAAAAATAATGAAAAGAACAAAATGCAACTAACTACATAACAGTTAGTGCTGCACAATTAATCGAATTTCTAATCGCGATTACAATTACGGATGCCACAATTACGTAATCGTTCAAAGCGGCAATTAATCGTTCAAAGTCCACTTATGTTATTCTGAGTGCTTAAGATGTGTTTTTTCTTTCTACAGGTCATCTTAAGGGGGTTTTTCAATTTTAGTGTTAGTAAAATATTATAATACCATGCATATTTTTACTTTTTTATTATTATTTAAAGAAGAAACCAATCCAATGTACAGTTGACATTTGAACCTTAATGCTATAGAAAAGCAATAAAAGTTTTTCAGTTTGAGTGTTTTCTGCTTATTTATTTTCATATAAAAATATGGCATGCAATTGCTTCAAACAATGGTATAAACATCATTCAATGTAAATTGTGATAATCGTAATTAATAATCGCAATTACAATTTCAAGAGAATAATCGACAATTATAATCTTTGTCATAATCGTGCAACAGTGTTATTTTAGTATCACTGGCACTGGAGTTATTATAGTTAACAAACTAAAACCATAAAAATTGCTGTTACTTATAAATAAAAGAATAATGTACTGTATAAATAAAATAAAATGTTAACTGAAATAAAATAAAAAACAAAAAAAATATTTTATTTTAGAAAAACACGAAAACATTTAAAAACAACAAACTAATCAAAATCACAAAAACAACACAAATACTACAACTTTAACTACTTTAGAAATTAAAACATAAAAATAAAAACTAATTCAAAATATCAACAAAACCAACAATAGCATCTCAATGGCACTAAAATAACAGCACTGATAATCAATTTGCTAATAATTTCATTTATATTTTATTTTCTGTTTTAATTTTAATTTTAAAGTTTTAGTCATTTTGTTGTGTTTTTTGCCATTTTTATTAGTTTTTTTTTTTTTGCTTTGTTTTGTTTTAAATGTGTATACAGTTTTATTAATGCTTCAGTTTATTTAGTTTGAGTTATTTTAGCCTTGGTAAGTTGACAACTGGTTTCTTTAATATTGCTTTTTTTTTAAACACAAATTAAAGTTTATTTTATTTCAAGTAATTAGTTTTGATGGGTTTTAGTTTTACTTAACTTTTAAAACAGGTTCTCCATATATTTTGTTGCTGACATCAGAGGTCAGGGGTTCAATCAAACACTGGTACACCAGAGAACGTCTCGGTCCTATTTTTAAATTTAGGTGGCCTTAGCCATCATCCAACACATTTAAATCTGTTCAAAAGTTTGGGGTTGGTAAGAATGAATTATGTTTATGTTCTTTATTAATCCTTTTCATTCATCAAAAAATACAGTGATATTGTAAAATATTATTACACTTTAAATTACCTGATTTCTATTTTAATATATTTTATAATGTAATTTATTCCTGTGATGCCATGTTAAATTATGAGCATTATTTCAGCTTATTTTGGTTGAAAACACTTAATATTTTACACTAACACTTAAACTGTGTTTTGGGGATTTTTAATGAATAGAAATGTCAAAAGAACCGCATTAAAATATAGATTTTTTGATATAACAGATTTTTTTTTGTAACAAAGTTTTTACTTTTCACATTTGATAAATACATTTAATGCATACTTGCTGAATAAAAGCATTCACTTATTTTGACATTTTTTTTTTAATTCTACTGACCCAAAACATTTGAAGAGTAGCAGAATCATTAGCAAATCTGAAAATAAATGTCCAATCTCTTACTGTACGTTATCATGTTGTGATGTATAAGTTAGATGCTCCACAGGAGCCTTTTCAAGCTGTTTTACTCCTAACATTTTTGAAGCACATTTTTCATATGACCAAAAGTAACTGAAAAGACTATGTAAAACCAAGAAAAGTTTTTTTTTTAATGATTTTTGTGCATTGAGAGCTAGTCTCTGTAGTCTCTTTCCTGCCCACATGCATAAAAAAACAGAAAAACTCTCTAAAAAAAAAAGGTAGGCGTTTACCACCAATCAAAACTTCCTATCAGTTCATTCATCATCCTTCACAGGCCTGAATCTCCATGATATCAGCTCTATTCAATACCAATGCTGTCATTTTCAATCCCTCGCTCTTCCTGTAGCATTTCTCCATTCGACAGCAGACTTGCTCAATAGCGTATCAAAGCTACATCAGCAGCGCTGCAGTCCCCGGGGGGTGTGACCTTTCACGCAATATAGACATAAAAACAACACCGTGCATCCATCTTCTGAACAGCAGCTGTTGTTTAACTAGCAAGAAAGGAAAAAAACAAGATTTGTTTGTTTCAATCGGAGTTCACCGAGTGACATTTTTACACTGGCGGCTGCAGCCAGACAGCCGGGCTTGTTTGTCGAGTGCGATGCGCTGATGTTTGAAGGCTGCAACCTTTAGTGGAGTCGATCAATTAGAGTGATGCAGAGTGAGCACTTTGACACCGCTAGACAAACTACGCATGTTTGAGAAGAGTAAAGGCAGCCTGGGCGAGTGTGGATCAGGTTCTTTCGGCATCTGCAGCAGTGGGTGGCTGGGATATAAAGATGCATATCGGTGACAGTGGCCTCTCAATGGCATCGGGCCAGTATTTAAAAGGCAGTGTGCAGGGTTTATGAGGCGCTTCTAATGGCCGCCTGTGAGCGGTTGTAAAACATACTGGGAAGTGTAAAAGTGTAAAACAGCTAAAGAGAAGCATCTTAATCACACATCACACCAGAGACAGAGGGAATGGATGGATAAGGATAGAAAGACACATCGTATGTGTGAGGTATGCACTGATAATGATGCTCGGTATTTTCAACTACCTCATAAAACACATGGCGCTGCTACGAAAAACAAATCGCAATACCATAATTGAATCGTTATTTTTGATGACCGAAACAAATTCTGTCATCATTTAGTCACCCTCAAGTTGTTCCAAACCTGTATGAGTTTCTTTCTTCTGTTGGACACAAAAGAAGATATTTGGAAGAGTATGGGTAACCAAACAGTTGACGGTAGCCATTGACTTCCTTACTAGGGAACAAAGTACTATGCAAGTCCATGGCTACCAGCAACTTGAGGGTGAGTAAATGATGACAGAATTTTCATTTTTGGGTGAACTATCCCTTTAACTTTGAATAAAAGGACAATGCAATGGCAGCCTAGAGGAAGCGATTCTGCATGAAAACTTTAAATTGAAAGAATTAAAAAAAAACTGTGTCCAAACATGCCTACACCGTAAAAAAAAAACTAAACAAAAAAAAACAACCTTTTTTTTCAAAGTTGTAAATAAAACGGATGTTTTACAAGAAAACACAATTTCAGTTCATATATTTTCCACATTTAATTCAATTCTTTACTTGCCCTTTCTTTGTAATTGTTTGCAAAATTTTCGACCAATTTCTATAAATTGTTTCTATACCAAATCTTTTGCCGTGTATTTGAGATTCTGGAGTTCACATGTGATGGACACTTTACTGTGAATGTACTTATTTACCAGTTCTTTACCACCAATCAAAACTTCCTATCAGTTCATTCATCATCCTTCACAGGCCTGAATCTCCATGATATCAGCTCTATTCAATACCAATGCTGTCATTTTCAATCCCTCGCTCTTCCTGTAGCATTTCTCCATTCGACAGCAGACTTGCTCAATAGCGTATCAAAGCTACATCAGCAGCGCTGCAGTCCCCGGGGGGTGTGACCTTTCACGCAATATAGACATAAAAACAACACCGTGCATCCATCTTCTGAACAGCAGCTGTTGTTTAACTAGCAAGAAAGGAAAAAAACAAGATTCGTTTGTTTCAATCGGAGTTCACCGAGTGACATTTTTACACTGGCGGCTGCAGCCAGACAGCCGGGCTTGTTTGTCGAGTGCGATGCGCTGATGTTTGAAGGCTGCAACCTTTAGTGGAGTCGATCAATTAGAGTGATGCAGAGTGAGCACTTTGACACCGCTAGACAAACTACGCATGTTTGAGAAGAGTAAAGGCAGCCTGGGCGAGTGTGGATCAGGTTCTTTCGGCATCTGCAGCAGTGGGTGGCTGGGATATAAAGATGCATATCGGTGACAGTGGCCTCTCAATGGCATCGGGCCAGTATTTAAAAGGCAGTGTGCAGGGTTTATGAGGCGCTTCTAATGGCCGCCTGTGAGCGGTTGTAAAACATACTGGGAAGTGTAAAAGTGTAAAACAGCTAAAGAGAAGCATCTTAATCACACATCACACCAGAGACAGAGGGAATGGATGGATAAGGATAGAAAGACACATCGTATGTGTGAGGTATGCACTGATAATGATGCTCGGTATTTTCAACTACCTCATAAAACACATGGCGCTGCTACGAAAAACAAATCGCAATACCATAATTGAATCGTTATTTTTGATGACCGAAACAAATTCTGTCATCATTTAGTCACCCTCAAGTTGTTCCAAACCTGTATGAGTTTCTTTCTTCTGTTGGACACAAAAGAAGATATTTGGAAGAGTATGGGTAACCAAACAGTTGACGGTAGCCATTGACTTCCTTACTAGGGAACAAAGTACTATGCAAGTCCATGGCTACCAGCAACTTGAGGGTGAGTAAATGATGACAGAATTTTCATTTTTGGGTGAACTATCCCTTTAACTTTGAATAAAAGGACAATGCAATGGCAGCCTAGAGGAAGCGATTCTGCATGAAAACTTTAAATTGAAAGAATTAAAAAAAAACTGTGTCCAAACATGCCTACACCGTAAAAAAACAAAAACAAAAAAAAAACAACCTTTTTTTTCAAAGTTGTAAATAAAACGGATGTTTTACAAGAAAACACAATTTCAGTTCATATATTTTCCACATTTAATTCAATTCTTTACTTGCCCTTTCTTTGTAATTGTTTGCAAAATTTTCGACCAATTTCTATAAATTGTTTCTATACCAAATCTTTTGCCGTGTATTTGAGATTCTGGAGTTCACATGTGATGGACACTTTACTGTGAATGTACTTATTTACCAGTTCTTTATCAAATGTGCTTATATAGTATGCATTTTTGGACATAATGTACACAATGTACAAAATAAACCAATATTATCTAATGCGCTAATGCTACAAAATCCCACATAAACTAATGTTAGGAGGTCAGCAAGTAATGTAGCTAAAGTTCATTTATGTTTATGCATGAAATATGTGTCATCTACAGTATATGTATGCTAGCTATCCTGTTAAAGCTTTCAAAAGGTAATACTAACTTCTCTGATTGGTCAATATCACTTCAGGATTGTGGTTAATTGGCATAGTATTTTTTGTTTAAATGTTAACACACACACACACTGCAGGTAGAAAATACCATCATCAACACTGGAGCTCAATGTAGGTTTGTTGTGAAAAACTGATACAATATTGCTAAAGACCGCTAAAGATCTACACATTAAGGCTGTAGAAATTCGGAATGGAATTGTGCATTCCCTGCTCAGAAAATCCTACAGGAAAGCAAAGACTTGTTAGTGGAATTTCTACTGTAATTTGGAACCAGTCCCAAAGGATCTTAATAAGAACTAATCAGAGGTTAACAGAAAAATTGGATTCTCACTGAGTAGGATATTATTTGATTCTTAGCAGATTCTAATAGGATTCTTTAGGAGGCATTCCAAATTATGACAAAAATCACAAAAGGAATCCTGAATACGGTTTTGTGGCACTTGGGGGCAGAATGAGAAAAAGAAAAAGCAAGCATGCATGTGTGTATGTGTGAGAGAGAGAGATCAAGTACAATCAAGCAATGGAGGGTTTCATCAAACCACTAATTTAATGAATGGCACACTGGGGACACATTCAGACAAACAGATCTCAATTGAATGGAGTACGATGGGTGCACACACACACACACACACACACACACACACACACACACACACACACACAGAAGGATCAAGCCCATTAAAATCGAGGGGGCATGTGGATTTGAAATTGCTTATTTAAAAAAATAGTGTTGTAGCACAGTTTTCATTTAGTAATGTGTATTTATGGCTCCTGCGCTGATTATAAGATGCATTAAATAACCACAAGAGGGGTCCTGGCATGTTGTGTTGTCTCTATGTGTATATTTGAGGTCAGTGTTCAGTATTAAATTAATTACACGCCCCTAATTAAAATGTCTGCTAGTCAGGCAATGATCTGCAAAGCTCTGCGGCTACTTATTATAGACTCATAGGCATAGACATGAGCTGACCACAAACAGCTGTTGACTGATGCAGGTCTTCTTGATGAGTGTGTGCATGTGAATGTGTGATGAGATTGACACAAACAGACTGTGACAGTGTGTGTGAGCAGCTCTCTGATGCCCAAAGTGTGTAAATCTCAAGCGGCCCCAGAACATAGACCTGGGGAACACCACCTTAAAAATTTATATACAGTACACACACTGTTTACAGAAATGCAAGCAATCAGTGTATGCTTTGCAAAAATAATTTTTTAAGTAAAAACATGGTTTCATAAAGCCACTTACAATGAAAGTGCTTAAAAAGCTAAAACATGAACCTTGCATTTTTGTTAGAGCATTTATTTTTCCCCTATAATTAGTATTATTTAGGCTTTAAAATGGTCTAAATTGTAATTTTTGCAGTGGTTATGTACTTTCAGAGCTTATAAGATAAAGGCTATTTATTTTATTTTTTTTACATTTATTTATTTATTTAGAAGGTTGTTTATTGACCTCATAAATTACATTTTGCACAGAAAGTCACCTGGTAAAATTGCATCATGTTAACATAAGGTTTAACTTTTGTGACTATATATTAAAAAGTATGCATTTTAGCATGCATTGTGTTACCTCCTTTACTTCCATTGTACGTCCAGAATGTTTGCTCATTTTTTAAATTGAGGGATGATGAGTCACTTTCAAAATTACACACGAAATGCTCTCAACAGAACTCAACTACTAAACACAGAACCCTTCAATAAGCCAAAAACTCAATACTCAGAATTGTGCATTAATTTTCAGTCTGCCATTCATTGAACACTATGTGCAATTTTTTTCCTGAAAGTCCATTTCTTTGGCATAGTGCAAGGTCAAGCTGACACACAGCCAGAGTGTGTGTTAGTGCAATTTTTCATGTGTGTGTGTGTGTGTGTGTGTCTGTGGGCTCTGCCACTTTGGCCACAGTTTGACAGGAAGTCGAGTGAAACCAGGAAGGTCACCTCGTTATGTGCAAAATAAATCAATAGAGATATAGACACAGAAGACACAGAAAGCCACTAGAGTGAGAGAAGTGGAAAGCGCTTGTGTATTTATGCGTGTACGCGTTTGCGTGTGCATTTCCAAGGTCACCCCGGCTGCGGCAGCAAGGCTGGGTTAGCATTAGAGCTCACGCTAGCAGGGCGCTCATTATGCTGGGTTATTTATGAACCTCCCCCCCAACTCTCAGACTTTAATAATTCAAACAGCACAGGCCTACACTCCCATGAGACCCTGCTCCCAAAAGCCGGAGGTGAGGGCCATTAATCAAACGTTGATCTCCTCCCCCCCTTCTCTCTCTTTCTCGCAAGCCCCCCATTCACATTTTTTCGTTCACATCTCGGCTGGTTTTAGATTAGAGCAGTTTGGACAGAAATACATGTAAGGGAGATTTTGCAATTTAGACATCAACCTTGTGCGATACTTAACCAGCCACACAAACAGAAGATGAGGGGTTTTTACCATGGCGGCTGGAGGGTTGCAAGGCGCGGTGTGTCTGTGAACGTGTGTGTGTGAGCACGGAGTGTGGAGACAGGGGTCTCGGGACGCCCTCTCCTCATGCGCTCGCCTCTCTGCCCCCCCGCTGCACCCGACTGCACCAAACCTGCGAGACAGACAGAGAACAACATTAATTATATGTATCCTGTGCATTTTTATTATTAGCATTACACAGGGTTAGTGCACAAGATGGATAAACAGCACTGAAATCTAGGGGACTAAACGTGTAGCATCACAAACCCTCACACACGCTTCCCTCAGGAGGTATCAGTGACTCTCTGCATGAAAATAAGCAATGCAGAATATGGATGTTATACATATTTCATGATCTGGGTGCTGCCGCACAACTGAGATGCGGCCTGTTGTTCTGTCGGTTTATTTCCCGACACAGCGAAGTGTTTGCATGTATACTAGTTTTACAGAGCACTTATCTGAGCCTGTTTATCAGGCTTATCTTGCAAAGTGCTTCCACTGCTTAAGACAAATATGGCTATATGTGAAAGTCATCTGAACACACACGCCGGAATCGTTTTGAGTGGTGGCAATAACCATAATTTGTGGATCAAACATTGAACTGTACATTTTTAGACAGACAGAGAACAACATTAATTATATGTATCCTGTGCATTTTTATTATTAGCATTACACAGGGTTAGTGCACAAGATGGATAAACAGCATTGAAATCAAGGGGACTAAACGTGTAGCATCACAAACCCTCACACACGCTTCCCTCAGGAGGTATCAGTGACTCTCTGCATGAAAATAAGCAATGCAGAATATGGATGTTATACATATTTCATGATCTGGGTGCTGCCGCACAACTGAGATGCGGCCTCTTGTTCTGTCGGTTTATTTCCCGACACAGCGAAGTGTTTGCATGTATACTAGTTTTACAGAGCACTTATCTGAACCTGTTTATCAGGCTTATCTTGCAAAGTGCTTCCACTGCTTAAGACAAATATGGCTATATGTGAAAGTCATCTGAACACACACGCCGGAATCGTTTTGAGTGGTGGCAATAACCATAATTTGTGGATCAAACATTGAACTGTACATTTTTACTCCACTTAATCCCTTCTTATCTGGCCAAATGTCTTCCCTGTATTAATGCAATTTCCCTGGAATATAATTTCATTCTCTGGATTATGGCTTTCAGAGCTGAACAGATTTTTTTTTTTAAAGAATATCCAAAAACTGTGAGGGGAGAGAGCTGATCTCAGTCGTATTTCAATGGTAAAGTGCTGTAGTGTTTTGGGTAGATGCTATATTGCTGTTAGGAGGTGCTTGCTAAGGTGTAACAAGTTTTGATAAATTTTATGATAAGCAGTGGCACCATGGTTTTTTCCATTGCTAAGGTGTTCTAAATGGTGTAAAAGTAATATTTTTTATTTTGTTTTAAACAATACTATATTCATCAGAAATTGAACTGATCAAAAGTGACAGTAAAGACTATTACATTATTACAAAAAAAAAAATCTATTGCAATTAAATGCTGTTCTTTTGAACTTTCGATTCTTCAGAAAATACTTAAAAAAATATTAAGCAGCACAACTTCAACATTGATAATAATCAGAAATGTTTCTTGAGCAACAAATCAGCATATTAGAATGATTTCTGAAAGATTATGTGACACTGAAGACTGGAGTAATGATGCTGAAAACTCAGCTTTACATCACAGGAATAAATTACATTTTAAAACATATTTACATACAAAACAGTTATTTTAAATTGTAATAATATTTCGCAATATTACTGCGTTTACTGTATTTTTGATCAAATAAATTAAGCTTTGGTAAGCATAAGAGACTTCTTTAAAACGCATCTTTCAGATTCCATGCTTTGGTTGCTAAGGTGTACTGATTGATTTTATTTTGTTAGGGTGTGATTGCTAACTTGTTCTGGTTAGTCAGATTATATACTTTGCACATGGGCTGTTGGGAATTTTGTACCTGAATGCTTGAAATGACAAATGCGACACATGGGAGCAAAAAGCACAAGACCACAAACCTATATCTAGTGTGTCGTTTGGGACAGGGTTTCACAAACCAAGATAATTTGCATGCTCTGCTTATAGCATATCATATAAAACCACGTCACCTAATGTACATATTACCCAACAATCCATAACCAAGACAATGATGAATAGGAAGAAATAGTGTCGCTCAATAGGCCATAGCTTATCTCCCGACTCCCTTTATGCACCAAACCTCTACTTTGACATCCTTTTAAGAGATGAACAAGTGTATCTGGTGAGGGAGCCCACACCGCTGCCAACAGCGCAATTACGCTCAAACGCAGCCCTGCAGATCTTCTGTAATAATGTTCAGTGGAGTGTGTCCACACAGAGACATTCACAGTCTGCTTGCTGACGGCCCTGCTGTCACTGCCTCGTTATCAGCGTCACAATCTGCTGAAAACACACCGCATACCAAACCAGACCTTTCAGAGAGATCATTAGCCCCGAACTGACGAACATTTAAACGACTAATCATTAAATGATGCACACATACAAACTTCAACACTGTCTAGTTTACAACTGTACATCAATAATTACAATACAAAAGTAGATTTTTGCATGAGGTTTACCTCAAACAAACAAACAAAATCCTTTCATAATGTTCAGTGACATGGAAATAAATATTATATTGACTTTCCACTTCCAATTACTGATTAATCACTACCTCACTCATCTGGCACAATAATATAATGTTTTTGAAACATCTTCATTCGGGGAAGTAAAAATGTCTCAGTAAATACAGATAATGTGATTAATGAATCACCATATTATGTAATTCAGTTAAATGTTTTCATCAGTTAGTAACAATTCTCACAATTGTCACACACACACACACACACACACACACACACACACACACACACACACACACAAAGGAAACGGACAGTGCATTCAACGACAAATAAGAAAATGGAAAATATTTTAAACACATGCCAAAAACACTGTTCATATTGCTTTCAAGGTCTTAGAAATGTTTTACATTATTTTAAACAAACATTAGGCCTTTAGATAAAAAGTCACAAAGTCTTTAAGATATCAGTTTAAAAGTAATAGCGGTAACATTTTACAGTCTCACTAACTAACTTACCTAATTGCATATTAATGGCTTTTAGATCCCTTAATCCTACACTATACCTACAGTAAACTCAACAACCTTACTAACTATTAATAAGAAGCAAATTAGGAGTTTGAGAAAAAAGCTATTGTTAATAGTTAGTTAACAGTAAGAATTGGTCCCAAACCTCCCCTTACGCATTGAATAAATGTAAACACATATTCATTATTTTAGATTTTTTTTAAACGCACTGTATAAGGTAATTTTCCCCCCCAAATATCATGAAGTGATTCTTAAGTATAAATGCATCCAGAAAAATTGTATACATCAAGCTGAGGTTCAATTTGGGCTCATGATTGAAGACAGCAGGATCACTGATTAGCATGCAGTGGTCAGATTGTGAAAAAGACATTTAACCTCAGTATTTCAGCATGAATAAGTAGACATCCTCCAGCTTGTGGGAAACAAGTGAAAAGAACGAGATAAGCATTTCTCAACATTGCCCCCTTCACTGACCTTCACTGACCTTCACTTTCACCTTCCTTGTGCCTGATGTCAATCCTTTAATCATTTTTTGGTTCCCTCTAGTTTAGATAACAGAGGCTGTTTTATTAAGCTAATTAAATTTTTTATTTCGATTTTGGCTTTTAAGGATTATAGCCGCATTTCTTCTAGCGCAACTTTTTTCCCTTCACAGCGGTGCACATTCATTCCTCCCTAAAACCCAAACTTAAAGTCAGAATCAGCACAATCAGTGATTGTTGAAAAAAGGCCGTCTTACACTGTTGTTAAATTGCGGGACGTGTTTGATAATAAAACGTGGAAAGCACAACCCGCACGAGATGCTGTTCCTCAGGCTGAAATGTGTGCGCGTGGCGCGCTCCACAACGGACAAACCAATTACAGAGCTTCAGGCGCATGTCCAAACGATCAAATACACACAAAAAATGTCAAAATGGCCGGCTTGAAGAGTATTTACTTAAACACATTTTATGTCTTAAGTGGAGGAGAACAGCTGGGAGAAAATCAGATGTGTGTCAATATATATTGTCTTAAAGTGACAGACTGGCACTTGGGCCATTAGTTAATCAAACAACAAAATGCAAAGACAAAATCACTCACAGCTCTTAATCTGAATTACATAGCTTTAATAAGCATTAATCTATCAATACATACAGTGATAACTGTATTTACTTGTAATACTTAATTACTTGTAAATACTGTAATTACTTGCCTGAACAGTAATGTTAGTAGACATTCATGGAAAAATGAAAGCACTGTTTATTTCATTTCATTTGTATATTTGTTTTATTGTATTTGTCAGTTTGTTTTACTTTGTTTCTTTGTTCATGTTCTTATCTTATGTACAGTATAAAACACTAAAAATGCCTGCACACTGGTGCATTTACAAATTGATGTTTTATATTAATTTCATTAAATATTTATCTTACATTTCAGAATATAAAGCAATGTTAATTCAGCTCTTAATTTGTCATATATATACATATAAAAATAACAAAAAGTACCGATAAGAATACTGTTAAAGTACCGAATCGATAAGCAGTATCGGTAAGAGTAGTAATACCGTTAAAACCTTAACGAAACCCATCCCTACATATGACCCCTTTAAACAAAAATAGTGAGCCATACTGTACCTCATGTGCTATTAAAGGGGTCATATGATGCGATTTCAAGTTTTCCTTTCTCTTTGGAGTGTTACAAGCTCTTGGTGCATAAAGAAGATCTGTAAAGTTGCAAAGACTAAAGTCTCAAATCCAAAGAGATATTCTTTATAAAAGTTAAGAGTCAACCACTCCTACCTAAAACGGCTCGTTCTAACACATACCTACGTCATGATCTGGGAAGATTTGCATAACACTGCCCAAATGTTCACGCAAAGAAAGAAGACATAACTTTTATTCTCGTTGTAGTATCGTTGACGCTGCAGCCATGTCGTGAAGGCGCTGTGTGTTTCGTTGTGAAAGCGAAACTACTTTGTTTGGTCTTCCAAAAGAGGACGATATCCGCTTCGTC